CTTCAAAACAGGGGCTTCGATGAAGGAATGGAATACTTGGCGACAGAGTATGAAGACCTTTATTGAACATCGCCCTCAACTTGGGGATGTTTCATCATGGATGGCTTATACTGATCAACTTATGCATACTGTTTAGAAACACTTATACTAGCTAAAGTCGGACTGTTTCCTTATGATGTTCTCTACACGACTGCTGACGCTGGTAGATTGTTTTTGTAACCCTAGTGGCGGGACCTTGTTCCTCAAACGGCCGCTGTCCACAGTGATGACGAGACGATTCTTGTTCTGGATATCAATAGTCATTTCTCGGGACATAGCTTCCCGGCATAGATAAGAGAAGCATCAGCTACGAGTTCAACGAGTTCTTACTTCTGCCTTATGTATCTATAAAGATGTGTCTTTACAAAACCTATAGAAGCAGGACACCGTTCACTTCTACGTATAAAACCGAGCTTCCCTTATTGTTCATAAAGCAGCTCCTACAAACAGTCTCTGCGGACAGCATCTGTCATTCTGATTTACGCCCCCTTCACTCAGGTAAGTCTTCTACACTTGATCGCGGCCTGGTTTCGTTACTTACTTAGACAATGTGTACCGAAGGAATCGGAACCTCCACCTGCGAGCGCTGTGCGAAGAAAACACGACGACACACAAGTAGAGAGTTATGTAAAGACGCCCTGCTAGACGGTCTTGAATTTGGCAAATGCCCTCCGGTGTGGCTAAAGAGAAGTTTGTAGTTCCTGCGCAGTGCAATAAGTGCAGGCAAGGCAGAGACGGTCCCACCAGACCCGGGATGACAGCTGCTTCTCCCGAGAAACACGCGTAACCGAGTTTTTCTACGGTGCTAATATTAAAACTAGCCTTTCGGACACTTTGCTCGTGCACTATACGTATCTTAGGTGGAAGATGGCAATGCAACAGTATATAAAAAAACTTATGTAGAGTCGTGCAACAAGACGGATATAAAGGCGACTCTATATCCACTACGCAAGACCTTAAACGTGGTAATCATGAGTAGCACAAAGACCGTACAAAATACAGAAAGACTGCCTGTCTTCAATTTTTTGCCGGTTTCTGTCACTTAATTCACCTAGTTACGATACACTGGCGAAAATCGGACTATCACCACACAGCTTTATACAGAAGAGCCAACCTCACTCATTTGCGAGACGATTATTTCAACAGCCTTGAGAGATTCTTGCCCGTCGCCTCGAAGGAAATATCAATGCTTCTCTCGTTTCCTCAACCAGGTGTGCGTGGTCTTCATATTCAAATAATGGCGAGCAGCGTGACAGCGGCAAGAAAAAAGGTCGTCAAGCTTGGCTATGATAGAGTATCGACAGCGTGTAGTATGTCTAGCTGGTTTTTTCCGACTCTTGCTCGAACACTGACCTGAGCTGCGACACTATAGGTTATTGCCGACGCCTAAAGCGTCGCTGCGTACGAGGTACAGAAGCCAGATGTGAGAACTGCCAACACCTGAGGAGGATCGACTGCTACTTCGGGCACAAAGAAGAGAATCATTCCTCTGTTATCAAGGATCTACTGGAGAAATACCCTGTAATAAGTGTCAGTGAGCTATATGGACCAGACACGGATGGACGCACATATTCCGATCTAAGAATAATCGTCACGGCAATCGCTCAATCGTCCCTCAAGGGGCAGCCGGAGAAGCTTGCTGAAAAATCTGCTCGAAAAAGTTATTCTCGGCTGTGTTCCTGGAAGACCCACGAATCTAGTGTTTTATGGGCAAGATCGGTTCCGCGCATACAAGTACTTAGTCTCGTGCTCCTCTTTGAGGAGAACCTTGGACTATCTGACCTTAGCACACGCGATGAACTTCAGAGAGCGTGCCAAGTCATGCTAAAAAATGACTTTTCGAGCAGCTTGCTTGCAGACGAATGGCACAATCCCGGCTTATTTGATGTTTGGATCATCCTATCCGCTGCAATTCTTCTGCTGAAGTATGGACTTGACTCGTACATTGCGACATATCTAATTCAGCGTAGTGAGACCGACAAGGAAGTGACGATATTAGAACGATACTTCGATCTCCCATACCCTCCTGCATATCAACTAGAGCAGAGATTTGGAAATATCGGCACGGCAACGCAATATACTCAGCGTGTGCAATCCATGCATGAACGGTATTTGCCATTGCAAGTGGAAACCCGCCAGGGTGCGGCTCTTCGAGCATCAGAGCCGAGACCTCTGTGGCCAATATAGGATGATTTACTTGTTGGTAAGCCCACTAAGCCCCTAAAATAATTTATACTTGAAACCGAAACTTACAGCTGGCAGCGACTCGTAAAGCGCGATAAAACTTAACCAATTTGTAAACGTTGCGGAACAGGGAACAGGCCATGCGGCTACTCACACATCTAAACTGTGTAGTTCAGACAATAGCAAAAAGGGACAAGCAAAAGCTGGACCAGTAGTCTCCAAAGAGTATTTAAGGCATGTGGAAACGCATCTTGACTATATAAGGGCTAGACAGGCCCATCGATCCAAGAGTCATAGATAGCTCAATCAATCAACTCTTTCTCTCTTATTTCCTGTTGCCTGTTTGCATCTCATCATTATTCTACCCCTCGATAGTGGCCCATGCCACATCATTGCCCCGAATTATTGAGCTTCTGAACTCGGCCTATAGACCATGGAACACCAGGATATACAGGTCATCGGCGGTGTTGAACATCTTCCCGATGAGATCCTCGTTATGATTTTCTCCCAACTTCGTCAAAGATCATATCTCAAGGGCGTATTGCTCGTCTGCAAGCAATGGGCAAAGAACGCCGTCGGTCTTCTCTGGGGTTATATCCTTTTCAAGGACGGCCGCCTCGTCTGGAGGACGCTTGCTACGCCTGGGACCTGGTTTAACTACCGCAGCATGGTCAAAGTCGTCTGTCTCGATAGCAATGTGGCTGATAATGAAGTCTTGCCCGACGCCCAGTTCAGGCTCAAGGCCCTCAAACTCCTCAATTGCCGCCTTACCGAAACGGGGTTGGCCCCCCTCGTACAAGACATAACTTCCCTGCGTGTACTCAAAATTGTTGACGAGCATGACAATGCTGGGATTCACATTCGCACCATCGCTGACCGCTGCACTGCCCTTCGCCGTCTCAAAATACGCTCTTGCAAGACGAGTCTTCAGAGCCTGTCCACACTCACGAAGAGCTGCAAGGATTTAAAACAAGTACGACCTCTCCGTTTTCTTGAATCATCACTTTATGTTAAGTTCGCATTGCTAATACGTACTTCTACACTCAACACCGACCATGCCTTAGCTTAAGCACTAATGCATCACGGTCATAGGTTGGTTTTTTTGATTGTTCTCAGCTCTGTGACGAGCATGTTCTTGCCCTCGCCGAGAACTGCCGGAATATCATGTCATTTAGGCTGCATGATTGCGGACAAATCACGAGTGCTTCTGTCGCGGTGTTAATATCTAACTGCAACAACCTGCGCGAGCTACAAGTCGAGCGTTGCGACCTCGTCGACCATGTCGCCTTCCTCGGTCTACCCGATAAGGCACTCAAATACCTCTGGTCCCTGAGCCTGCAATGCCGCAGTCTGACGAACGCTGCTATCTCTCCTATAATCAGAGCAGCCCCCAGGATACAATATCTTTACTTGAATCAATGCAGTATCACCGACGCCGCTCTCCCCGCTATTTCCAGGCTTCAGAGCCTAAATGTCCTACACGTTCTCGGTAATGCCGGGATCACCACGACGGGATTACAAGTGCTTAAAGCCCGCTGCACTAATATTCGTGAAATTGATTCTGATAATTTCTCATATGAAAGCAAAGGCCTGTGCTTGGGGGTGCTTTCGATCTTGTCTAACAATGAAAGGCGCGTTTAGAGCGACACCGGGCTGTATGCGGACGAACATAGTAGAAAACTCGGCGCAGCCATCCGATAAAGGGGCAATTGACTTCGGAGGGGATAGCGAAGCAAGCGAATGCATATACAAGAAACAGCCACTCAAGCTAAATCCAGATATTAATACACACCTCTATCTACTTCTTTCCTTAAAAAAAGTAGTAGCTCCCCGCTGTCTTACTTCACTCTCCGGTTCCTATCCCTCGCTTAGTCGCGAATAGATAAGTCCCCCTGTCCGCGGCTTCTACTAGTATCGCTATAATTACTTTCTCTCTCACAGCTATTCGAATTAGGTGTAGCTAAACGAGACGCCATGCTTAGCCTGCCTCGTAAGTATTACGTCCCCTAGCTCTTATACTACACTAACTAAACTTCTTGTCAAAAAAGGCCATTAGTCGTAACGAGGAGCATTTCCTATCGTTAGCTTGGTCGGCGTCCACAAACATAACTCGTGGGCCGTGACGTACCGGATGACTGATGGATATAAATAGCTTGACATCCCTATAGCTAGTTAGCTCCTCTTTCACCAAAAGTCTAGTAATATACTTGACAGTCAATGACCAGATAAAGGGAATGGCAGAATAAAGCATCTTTCACCCGCACACTGCAGAACTTGTCCAGGTAAATCCTCATATAGTCAAAGCAGTTCTTTTACTAAGGCATTTAGTTAGGAAAGATATTTCCGTCTACTTTTGCTGGTAGATGCTGAAGTCTTGATACAGGCTGGCCCAGAAGACTGGATTTCTACCACGATTATCAATATGGCCAAACAAGCGGTTTTTCTGCTTCTATACTCAAAATGTCCAAACGCGTCGGTTGGTGCAGAGACGAATGATGCTGAAAAGTACAGTGAATACGCGTCTACGTACTATCAGACCGCCATTACGCAGTATTTCTCGGGGCAGTGCTTGCCGATCAACTACTTTCACATTCTCACCACATACTTCTGTGCGTATCAGGCAATGAGGGGAAACAAAGAGACGGCTGAAATGCATTTGGAAAATTTTCCATTCGATTTGAGACGAAAATATCGCCGTTTTCTTTGCTACTACATAAGTCTGTTGCCACCAGAATGGAACTACTTCAGACTCGAGGACGGTTCGCCGCCAGTGAACGACCATTAACGAAAAAAAAAGACGAAACGGATGCTAAGCGACGGCGCATCAGAATATGACGGGGGCCGCTGAATGAGAGTTTGAACGTAGTAACACGTGAGCGGAGGATTTAGCGGCTTTGCTAGAGTTGCCAGGCGGATCAACACATCAAACTCTATATATGAGAGGTAGAAAGCACCCTCTTTCATAAGATACGCAATAAAAATTCAGTTCGGATATCGTATATTCATCGAACAGCATACAACTAGGTGAAGATTTGCCAATTAGCCGTAGCGCCTGTACCGGCCACATGTGGGCATGCGACACCGCACCGTGCAGGGCTCAACGCTCGCAACTATATAGAGGGCTCGCTCGCTGTAACGGGCTGAGCCTGGCAACGGCTCGGTGAACACTTCTCGCCTTGGTCGCTCCACATCAGCCCCATTTTATAAGCAGCCGCCTTCGTTCTCGACTGCTCAACGCCCGATTTGTTTGCAAACCTCGGCGAGGCACTCCCCAACAAAGCCTCTCGTCATTTTTCGGCTCAAGTCTATAACGCGATAATCTAATGTCTAGCCAGACAAAAAAAAAATCACCCTCGGCGAAGAAGTGTCGGGCCACTCCCGCCGCCATCCGGGGCTCGCGCAAACCAAGGCTACCCAGGGCTAGACTTGATGGCGCACTCATGAACCAAGAATTCCTCGACCACGAGCTGATGGACGAAGATGGCCTGCCAGGTTGCCCACTCGAGGCACTGAAGCTTCCACGTCTGCGACGATGCGCATTTGATCTACGCACCATAGTCATTACCGGACCCATTCACCCCGTCCAGACATTCTTTCAAGAAAGGCTTGATGGTGGCGTCGACGGATACAATTGGAAAATTCAGTTTGGCGACAGCGGCCCCTTTGTTTTGAAAGTCGTAAGGAATTCCCTGAGGCCATGCGCCTACGCAGCACCATCACTAATCTACTTTGGGTTCGGCTTTAGTTCTGGGATCAGAAGCCGCCTACACCACCATCATACTATGCACTGCAGCGAGAATGCCAAGCTGTAGCCGTCTTACAGCTGATGCAGGCAGCTCTGACACAAGACAATCCCTCCCTGGGTCCCATTCTTGTTAACCCGCACCCCGGGAATTGGAAGGAAGGCTATGATAACATGCTTGCTTTTAGTGATGAATGGAGACGCAGAGGCCTGCTAGACGATTGTGCCTCTAGCCCAGTGGAAATAATCACCAGTATGCCCCGCATGAGGAAATGCTACGGCTGGATAAAGATCAAGGGGGAAACGCTATACCAGCTACCGCTTCTATGGAGGCCACCACATCTTAGAATTGAAAGGACGTCGAGACAGATACAGAGCGATATGGAGTATACAGCTCTTGTCTATGAATATGTGGAGGAAGGAGAAAATGATGAGGCAGCGATAGAGGAGTCGCTAAACTTCTTCCGGGCTGCCGGCTTCTCCCACACTCGAATTTCGTTAGCACGCAACTGGAAAAAGTCCGTTCTAATTGACATGTCGGATATCATCTATGCTGGTGGATTCGGTTGGAAATGCTGGAACTTAACGGCACGAAAAGTCCTGTGTGCTGGCCCTAGGCGGAGGTGAGGCATAATGAAGGTCAGAGGAAATAGACTGCTAGTCAATGTCTGCACGCTCGCATTTAACTATAAATACAAGACCTATCCTATCAAAAGCAGCCAGATGTTAGCCAAACCTCTTAATAAGTCTTCTTACAGAGGAACCCTGATCCCTTAAGCGACATTTCCAAAGCACACGTGTGTTTCCCTAAGTGTCAACTTCGTTTTCAGAATTCACATTTCATTCACCGAGAATGCCTACAATTCTTGAAGCCCTCGCAGAAAAGTCTGTGGCACGGGATTTCAACAACGCCAATAGCATCACTGGGCCAAACACGGACTGCAAGACCGAGATTAGCGTTGATGACTGGTGTCCTTGGGAGGACTTCACTTACGAAAACATCAAATGCATCTTTAGGAAGGAGCTAGGTCGACGATATAAAGGCGACAATGAACCGCATCCACTTCCGTTCGATTTATGTGTTCTCAGAGAAGACACGACGCAGGACGCGCTAGGGCGATTTCCAATCCCTATTGTCAATTATGCCCTGAATTCCGGCGGTGGTACGGAGCATTTGGGTCGTGGAAGTAGGTGTCAACCAGACGCTATGTATGCACCCGACTGGTCGGTGGTGTCAAATTCTCACGTGTCTACTGAGGGGATGCTGAATATACTTCCTGGAGATACGAAAATCAGCTCGAAATGGTGGTCTGGCATGCTCGACGATGACGATAACTTTGACGAGTGGAAGAAAGTCCTTGACCAAATTGTTACCTATCTGGCATTATGGTCTACTCGGTACGGCTTCATTATAACCAACACCGAAGTCGTCGTTCTACGAATAAATCGCCATCGTCTACACGCTGGCATAGCCGCCAATCGAACCCGTCGTATCCGTCGCTCTGACGCCACCATTATACCGAGCAGCGACCCTGTGAGTATTGCTTCGAGCGAGGGTTTCCAAGACGTCAATCCGTTACATTGGGATTTTGGGGTTGAGTATAAAGCGATCCCCTGGAACGAACATGGCCCGGGAAAACTCACTGGGAAGCTCGCCCTGTGGGCTCTAGCAAGAATGGCATCGTACGGCGACCACAGCATTGAGTACTCTTATCCGGATCTAGATACATGGCGCGCGCAGGATACCGGCCAGGGCATCATCCACAACACATCGGGCGAGAAATTGGACAAGCCGACAAAACATACCGAAATTCAAGAGCGCAACCATTTCCTTAATGCCGCTACAGGTGCGGGACACGATGATGAGATTATCAACAACGATGATAGAGATGCTAGCCGCCTCGAGCCACGAGAGAGCGAAGATCCTGAGCCAGACGTACCGCAGTTTAGCAGGGCGGTCTCCACTGGACTGGAGCCCGGCAAGTTGCCGGATAGTCAAGCTGCGGAGAGCCCTAATACATGGATCAAGGTCGAGGTGAAAAAAAGGGGAAGGGAATTTCATTACAGAGACTACAAAGGCCATGATAAGTCATCGGCCAAGAGTGACTGGCAAGCGGTGGATGGGGGCTATGTCTTACGCGGAAAGAGGCATATCTACTTTACGAAGAAGCTGCCATAATATAGTTTACTTAGCTTAGGCACGAAATCTGAATACCGATTAGTGAGAATGAGAAACCACTGAAATATAAATAACAGTATATCGCCCGACGACTATGTAGTTATCCAGATTTTTTTCCATCAACAATCGGCTAAAGTCTTGTTTAAGGTTTTATGGACTCATTATGCCATATATCTGGAGCAGTCAGCACTATCAAGAAAGCAAAGAGGAAACAAAAAAAAAGGTAACTTCACCTTTATTTTACTACTATAACGGCTAAGAAGAATAGCAGCGAATACTCCTTGATATTTACCGCATAGATGAAGGGATCACGACAAATATTCTCAAGAATTATTACGTGGAACTATTGGGGTCGATCGATAGCCCAGCAATATATGCGGAGCTTGTGGGTGAGTCGGCGGAGGATGAGTCGGCCGGTGACGACTTAGGGAATGCAGCGACACTATTGCGCGATGTTCAATGCTGCGCCCCATCACTGATTTCTAAATTAGTCCACTGCAAATTCTTTGGCGTATGTATAGATGGAGGTACCCGGGTGATGATCAATAGGGTGACTCCTAACTTTGACTTTCCTAAGTCTCGAGATCTTGTTGCGAAGTTGACGCGGCCGGCAACGTGGGTAGCTGAAGAATAGCAGCAGTATTTAATTGATATCTTTTCAGTTCATATTTGCCTTCGTTTTTTAATTCATTGAATTCATATGCTAACAGTCGTACTGTTTCATGGATACCAGTCTGTAGCAACTCGCAGACTTTCGTTTTGCTTTCTTCTTGCTTTTGTTAGCTACGTCAAAGCACCATGGCGTACATTTGGCAAAGCGTAAAGTTTCAAAAGCCTTCAGCCAATGAGGTGAGTGCTATCAGCGCTATAATGAAATATTGAATAACAATTCATGTCGTACGAAGTGAATATCCTTCACGTGGAGGTGGGAACAACTGCACGCGATCTACTTCCATCATATCAGGTGCGGCTTTATGGCCGCGCAGATGCCTACGCGCTGTACGCCGATAGGCCTGGAGCAGACGATAAGAAGACCGAAATAGACGATATCATTAAACTGTTCAAATCTGTGAACGAGGAGACGGCTCTGTCCGGAGAGGACCTACTCAATCATAGTCATGCGTGCATTCGACACGGGAAGGGGAAGGGGGGGGGTTGCTTGTTGTAAATGGTATTATCTTGAATTGGGGCTTTCTACGGAGTATGGAGAAAAAGGAAGTAATGGTATGGAGATATAGCGACTAGTCGTATATATTTCAGTCTATCAATGCAATTGCTATATCAGTACCTATATTGAGAACCCCTAACACATGTTCGGGTACCGTCTTGGCCGAATGGTGTTGAAAACCTCCTTTAAACGGCCAAAACCTCCGTTATGATTCCCTGTCATCGTCAACTATTGGTGGGTTGACCCGAAAGGCCATGTCAACTCTAAACCGTGGTCGTTTTTGTCTTTCCTCCGTACTAGGCACATTCTGTTCCGATGGCTCGATAGAAGCTTTGCGCTTGTTGTGTGGCATATTCCCTACTGCGGTTCTGCCTCGCGGCCCGTCCCGTTTTCCTTCTGTGGTTAGTTCACTGGCTTTATTCGGTTTTGTATCTGTGTTGGCGTCTCGAAGTTCCTCATCGTCGGAATCTTCCTCTGAGTCGGGTATCACATCATCAAATCTCTGCCTCGATAATTCGGGGTTCGTTTGCTTGGGAAACGAACGACGGCGAATATGCGCCAGTGGCTGGTCGATACCAGCGACCGAGTCAAGCCCGCCAGAGCCACTGTCACCCTCGCCTGCTGGCTCGCCGCCCACGTTCTCGTAGTATCTTGTACTATCCACATCCTTACAGTGACCGCAGTCACGCAGTCGAGACCCAATCGCTGATAGCTTCGTCAGTATATCACTCAAAACTTTTCTGCCGATGGTAGGCCTACTTGTCTCAGCCAGCTCTCTCGTTTCAATTCGCGAATTAGCACACGGTTCTGAGTTCGCAGAGGTGCTATTCGAGGCACTTTCATCGCTTGAGGAAATGTCAATGACCTCGCTGTTGAAAGTCTTTTGACTCGGCATTGCGGCTGCGGACAAAGGCGCGCTAGTCCGTGACTTCGTGACCGGCATCGCAAGGAAAGCAAGCTTTTTGCACGGAAACACAAGGAGCAGTATCGGCCTAGGGTCTAACAGTGATGGGCAACCGCCACCCTTTTATAAACTCACCACCTCTACCTCTATTACGAGAGCTACATAGTATATGAAAGAAATGCCTGTAGCGTAACGTCTAATCGCGCCCCGTGTACGGCGTTGTGTTGACATCTAGTGCGGCGGCATTTTTGCCATTGGCGGAAGGGGGAAGAAGGAGGCAGAACGAGATAGACAAGAAAAGATAGCAGGCGGAAGTCGTGATGAGGAGCAACGAACCAGAGCAGCAGCGTTAAGGGTACTTGGACCATGACTGATCAGGGTACCTGGGTGAGGTCAGCTGGGTGGCCGCTGTTGGGGGCGGCCAGCCCACGGCCGAGTGCCAGCGCCCAGAACGCTTGGGCTGCTAGTTGATCCATCGTCGGCGGTAACATATGCAAGTCCTATTGGAGAACTACTTATTGCATCCAAAAATTAGATTATTAGCCTAACACCAGTTAACAATTTTGATCAACTTTATTGTATAAAGGCTAATGCCCGCAAGGCTCAAGTTGTTGCGGGGTAGATATGTACAAAAACCGAATGTAAGCAAAGCTGTTTTTTAGCTGCTTTTTGTTACGATTTTGACAGCGATTTTCGCACGGCCCGCTGTACACTGCAGTTCGGGGATGTCTTCCCTACCTGTCCACTGTACGAAAATAACTACCCGGTCTCACGCTCTTAAAATTAGTTGATTACAGTTAGTAAGTGCCGGCGATCATATTGTTGCGGTCTTCTCATATGCCTGTTTTGATTTTAAAAGTTGTAATATGGGGGGTCAATCTTATGACAATTTTTCCGCCTCAAACCAAATTTTGTTGTAACACATGCTCAGTGCAGCGGCTTGCTGTATTTTAACGGGCGCTTAAACGGCCATCCCACAACTATCAAATCTGACCACTGTGTCTAACTTCATGATGCAGATAATAGAGGACAATACAATATTGCCGAAAAAATAGGTAACTCTTTTGGTATGGGGTGATTGCGATTTGTCCTTAGCTCTCTTCACAAGTTCGTGGCTGCGAGACTGGAGACATATTCCATTATCGCGTTTCATCAAGGCGGAGTTTCGCCATGCGACGTGGTTTATGAGTGTGTATCGGACAATAGCTTACTACAAGGCTAGTAGCTAGAACTTTAATACAAATTCTCTATATGTTATGCTATGCCTATTGAAGACGTGAACTTGAATCAAAAATTTGCTAGAAATAATAACTCGAAAGCAGGTTATAAAGGTGAGGAGCGAGCTAGTCTCTGGGTACTATGCATCGTCAGCGCTCTAGTCCGCTGCCGGCGTATTTTGTTCGCAGGCTGGGCGAGTAAATGTCCAAGATCTGTGGTCGTTAAGGGCTTTCCTACGAGATCCCTTGGTCTTCTACAGGAAAAAAAATTCCATGGACAAGTAAGTACAGTAAATCAGTGCACAAAGTGTCGAGCTCCATCACAGCCTCGAAGCTTTTTCTCTACCATACGCAGATAGTTGAAGAAAACAATGAAATATATTACATTACAGCTACATTGTATTTGCCGCGACACTTCGCTTACCTGTCGACAACGCCGATCTCACATGCAAACGTAAAAGGATAGCGAGAGTAACAGTGAGCAAAACAGCTGGGAGCAGCGTGGAAAGGCAGCGTGGAAAGGCAGCGTGGATGGGCAGCGTGGATGGGCACCGTGGACGGGCAGCGTGGATGGGCAGCGTGGATGGGCAGCGTGGATGGGCAGCGTGGATGGGCACCGTGGACGGGCACCGTGGGTGTCAGTCTGCAGGTAGGCAGAGGAACACGGGGGCCAGTCTTCAGGTAGGCAGAGGACAGCAGGGGACGGCTCGGTGCTAAGAAGAACACTGAGGCCAGTGCCAAGGTACGCTGAAGAACACGGAGGTTAGTCTCTAGGTGCTAAGAAGACCAGGTCAGTCTCTAGGTACGCCGAAGAACACGGGGGCCAATCTCCAAAAAGACAGCGACGGGAGTGCTAAGTGCAAAGTCAACCAAGGTCAGCCTGGCAGCCCGCAAACGGGGCAGCCCGCAGAGAACAGCACGGGCCAGCCTGTAAACCACGCTGTCAATGCAACGATAGGCGGCGACTGTCATCCGCTAAATGGCTCAATTAGCGAAAGGCCACTGCTTACCTTAGAATGGCCTATGATTGGCAGCACTGCGCTGACCCTCCCCGTCATTTGTTTGTTTAAAATTGTTAAAATAAACCAATTAATATTAACATTCCACAACATCTTTAACCCCGCACTACATATACGTACAATACCACCATAGCATGGATAATGATTGCCAGCTCTGGCAACACAGCGTCAGCCACCTATGGACTTACCCACTACATCGCTCACTTCAGGCAACACTCTCTCGATTGAAGAGAGTCTCTCCAATGAAGAGCTGTTGTTCCTAACGTCGTTGACACGTGACGATCCCTGGTCGTTGTACCAGGCTGATAAAAGTCAAATTCATGCTTTCTGGGGTAGCATAGAGAATGAGACATCAATGGCTGGAGATTCGTGCCTCGCAGATGCTTACAAGGCAATTCAGGTTGTGGAGGAAATTATATCAGACAAGAGTCTAGACTACTGGAAGCACCGACTTGCCTACGTACAGCTACACAAAATTCTAGCGTCGCTTGATGTGATTATACTCCGCGAAAAAAGTAACGGGCGAATTGAAAGTCGTCGTGGCCATGGGAATAGCACGATCAAGTATGACATACTCACCAAGGCCCTCGAGGGCCGATCTTCAGCAAATCTCATACGGCTCCGCGTTCGGTGGAGTAGGCGGTGGTCACTTATTCTAGGTGGATCAATGCTTCTGGCAATCGCTTATTCAGACAAGGTCGAGACTCTTGTGTAGGTTTTTCACAGCGTCTGGTGTACTCTAACTAATCAAGAAACAGAAGAAACTTTGCTGTCACAAACGCGGCATTAGAAAATGTGTCTAGTCTGGCAGTTCGAGCTATAGATGGTATAAGCCAAATTTCAAACATCCCACTATAAACGAGCCTCTGAATTTACCTACAATGTTAGATCAATACTATTAATATCAACTTGAACCATTGATTCACAAAAATGATAGTTTCCTCCTTTGAAGTAGTCAAATAGTCAAGTCAAAGTAATCCAATTGCTATTGTCCGCTACACTCGCATAAACCACGTCGCATGACGAAACTACGCCGGTCAAAGTTAGGCCACCATTTGAATTAACACACTAAAATTAGCGCGCCCCCATTTAACATGAACACTTGCTTTTAAACAAACTTGCATTCTGACCATACGGTCAAGGCATCGCACTAATTACTCGATATATGTCCGTAGTACAGTGGACGATTGTACCTGCAGACTGACATCCACACTGCCCATCCAGGCTGAGTTGCGCAGCGAAGCTAAGATATTCACCATGGAATCATCAACGCCACTAAAGGACACTGAGAATTGTATTCTCGAACAACAAGTTCAGCCAGATTCTGTGGACTTGCAATCAGGATTTCGGCGAGATTTGGGCCTGGTCCTTGTGTATTGGCGACTCGCTCTTTTTAGCGTTCACTTACTCTGAATGTGCCGAGGCCATCATGTGAGTAGTATCGAGTAACCGCCGAGCAGACTATAACTGAAAGACGATTAGAAAAGACTTTTCGGCCATCCAAGAACCTCGAGGGACATTTTGAAGAGGGCCATTCATGCAGTTCGTCAAAAGTATGATGCCGGTACTGTCTTCCTAATCTAAAATTAGCTGTCGGAAGGTTAGCATTGTGGCCCGTCATGCTCCTCAACCTGTCTTCTTTAGAGACAAACAAATTAGTAGTATAGATCTGAGAGAAGACGTTCAATATTAATTGCTAGATAAAAATAGTTTAAATACATTTGTTTAAACCCGCTTATTTCGCAAATGCTTCTCTAGGGCAATAATCTACTGTTTAGGCTTTAGTCTTTTGATGCCTCATCGTTTTTCGCTGAGCTTTGCACGCTGTTAAGTTTCTGAGCAACCGGCCGGGCCATCCGAAGGTTCACGAAAGCACCCTGGACACGAGTTGTATGACGGATCTATTTCTGGCCTAAGCAGCAAGATCGGGAATTTATGCCCTCAAACACATGTCTCATTTGTACATAGATACACACTCCTTGGCCCTGGATCGCTCTACTTTCTCTCTTTTTTCTAGACATCAAACAAGCCCAATACTAACGTTGACCACCTCATCTCCGGCTATATCCCATGCCGGCGGGAATTTATTGAAGTCATCCTCCTTCGGGTCCAAAAAGACATTCTTTAACACAATCCCTCAATCCGGCCCGTGTGATGTGATCAGATGACAAGCGGCTAGCAGCCTCGCGATCGGCAATGCTGGAAAGCTCGCCGCAAACATATTTCAGCTTATCAGGCACATGGTCTAAAGCCTTTAAAACTAACTTTCGAAATGTTTGGTTATCTGTTTTCGAAGGAGATTTCCTGCAGGAGATGAGCTATATGTTACGCTTTGGATTTGCAATGCGCTTACGCAAAGGACTCCGCAGTTTTGGAGAAAGCGAGCAGTAGAAAAGGTGAGGAGCGAACAGCGTCTTTCCAACGGCTGCCGATGAGTCTGAGACGACGCAAATGGCTTGCGGTGGTGGGAATGTCTTGCGCGTTACGATAGAGCTCATACGCTAGCGCAGCATTGGTGCGGTGGCTTTCTGCTTCAATGAACCCATGCTTCTTATCACGTTCTATCCTCTTTCTCAGTGATTCCAGGAAACCGAATAGCTGTACATATCCAAATCTAGGAAGAAGATATGGCTCATTCTTGCCGCTAATGACTCCGTCGAGAGCACGAACAGCCGCGGCAAGCCCCTTGACTGTCAGCGGACCACAAGGCGCTATTTGCGTCATGCTCAACAGCGCCATCCAGGCATTGAACGTCGCCTCCCATATCTGCGCAAAAACTCGTGTCGCATCGAGTTGCACAAAGTTTCTGCTGAGGTCAAGTATCACATGTAGTGGGATAGTTCGCTTTCGCCCTGACTTGGTTATTTTGGAACTGCGCCGAGCTTTCTGGGGGATTGTTACAGCCCATGCGTCTATCATTTGGTTAGCCGTAATACGCCATGGTGCATACTTAACTTCTTAGAACAATGTAAATTGCAACGAGACAAGCTATTACGCGCCTTGCAAAGCGACTTCGTTGCGGCTTATATCAACGTAATCCAGCATTTCAATGTCCTCATTGTTATAGAAGCTGCCATTTTGGGCGTTTTCGCCTACGGCCACGGTTAGAGCTTCTGTAGGGAAACTACTCCCTCGTAGGCTGACCTGTGCTTGTCTTGTCTACGCTGTTGTCCTGTAAACTCAGTTTTGCCATGCGCTGAACCAACTCGTCGATAGTGAAGCGAGACATTACAATGATACTTATGTAGACAAATTTCAGAAGAAATGGCATGCGCTCATGTATATGTATATTTATTTACTTGTCTATTTAAGATAGCTGCTTATATTAACATATTAAACTTAGCGCCGCATTATATGGTCCAGCGATTGCACCCAGCGGCAGTGTCACCTACTCCGAAGGCCGCGTTGACAGCGACAATGGTGTATAGATAACATCTTAATATATGATTAATTAATACGTAGTTATCTCTTCGAGCATCGAGGCGCTCATCTAGTCTTGGAGGCCCACGGCCGACTCTCCCATTTGTGACAGGCCTGGCAGCAGCTGCCTAGCTTCTTCTACAAAAGCGCCTTGGTTCAGAATGGAAGCTCCTTTCCATATTCTGCGGCTTCCTCTTCAGTTGTACACCACCCACGCTATGGTGTCACTTGGCAAACGCAAGGATTGGTTACGCTCTGAAGCATTGTGGTCCCCTTTGTGTCGCGGATCATGTTTGCCTTCCTCCCTCAATACTTAGAAGTAGATAAGACCCGGTACGCAGAAATATTACTGTGAACATTTCCCTTCAGCTGTCTCTACATTGTTGGTAACTGTAAACACTTCCCTCTACGTTGTTGGTAACAAGCACAGAGAGCGAAGATTGTTACTGGCAAACGGACCCTGCGCTGCGCGGTTGCTGGCACATTGATGAGGACGTACATCAACTCCTCCCGAGTCGACACACTGGCGGCCGCAAACTTGCATCAACGGAACATGCTGTACACTTCCTTCTCCAGCGAATACACCAGGCTTGGTCCGAGGGTAAAGTTGCCTCCCTACTCCTCCTCGATGTGTCAGGGGCGTATGACAACGTGTCGCGAGAACGGCTTCTGCACAATCTGCGCAAGCGTCGAGTTAGCGATAGCATCATACGTTGGATAGATTCGTTTCTCCACGATCGCTTCACGACCATCAAGCTACAGGAATACACAGCGCCAGCGGCGCCAATTCAAATCGGAATTCCGCAAGGCTCACCGGTCTCACCAATTCTATATCTTTTCTACAACGCGGACCTTATTGAGGCCTGTAAAACAGAAGATATAGAAGCGGTGGGATATATTGATGATGTATCGATCCTGGCGATTGGGTCATCGACCCCGCACAACCGCAAAACTCTGAAGAAGATACATCGCGAAGCTGAGGATTGGGGACGAAAGCACGGCTCCCAATTTGCACCGGCAAAGTACGAGCTGATTCACTTCACAAGAGACCCTATGATGAACAGCACACATGCTCTCCGCTTGCCACACGCCACTATCATTGCGTCCCCATCGTGCCGCTACCTGGGGATCCACATGGATACCAGACTTCGGTGGTACTACCATCGAGAAGAGATGGAGGCTGCAGCGACAAAACGCCTGTCTGCTCTGTCGGCCCTAGCCTCATCGACATGGGGTGTGGAGTTGGTCAACTTGCGACAGGTTTACAGGGCAATGATCATACCTCAAATGCTATTCGGATGCTCAGCGTGGCATACCCCAAGGGGAGGCCGCGGAAGCAGAGGTAGTGATATGGTGGCAGTAGCCAGGAAGATACAGAGGCGAGCTGCTCAAATCATCACAGGAGCCTTCCGGACGACAGCTGGAGCAGCGGTAGACGTGGAAGCACATTTACTCCCAGTGCAGCAGCAAATGGAGCAAACTGCACTGGAGGCGGCCATGCGTATCCGCACCAGTCCACTATATGACGATATGGCATCAACTAGCGAGCTTGAACCTAGCCCTCTGGATCGGCTGTCGAACATGTTGCATAGCAAATATGGCATCCAGCTGAGCCAACTTGGAAAACGCCAGCCGCATATAGTGCCGCCGTGGTGGTGCCCGCCTTTCATCCGCATCAATGAGTCTGCGAGCGACGCAATCAAAGAACACGATGCAACGGCTCCCGACACGATTCGCATCTACACCGATGGTAGCGGTATTGAAGGTCATGTCGGT